CTCCTTGGAGGCCAAGATGGCCAAACTTCATCTCTCATACTTCGGACATATTGTCAGGAGGGACCAGTCACTGGAGAAGGATATTATGTTTGGTAAGGTGGTGGGTCACAGAAAAAGAGGAAGACCCCCAGCGAGATGGACTGGCAAAGTGGCAGTATCAATGGGCTCAAGCGTGGCAACAATTGTGAGGTTGGCCCAGGATTGGGCAGTGTTTTGTTTTGCTGTGCATAAGGTCACTATGAATCGGTACCAACTCGATGGCACCTAACAACAACAACACCAGTCCGATGCCCATCACATCCTTACTAAATAAGTGTACGTTTCTTTGTAACCATCAAGGAAATTAGCAAGGTATTCAATAAAGACATACTATGGTGTAGTGCTCTAGGTTAATGCGCTAGACTGCCAAGTCAGTTTGAACCACAAGGTTAGCAGTTCAAGCTCACCAGCTGCTCCTTGGAAACCCTATACAGGGTTGCTGTGGGTCAGAACTGACTCAATGGCACTTAACAACAAATGGAGAAGGGCTATCTTTCACACCTATGTTGTGCTTTCCAGAGAGCTGGGTCTTTATTTTCCCCTCCTGGCCATCAAAAGGCCTGGAAACTGCAGGCCACCCTTAAGACTGCATTTCACAGGGTTTTGATGTTTCAAATCTACTGATCATCTACCAATTCATCTCTTCGGTAAAGGTGAGACAAAGGGCAGGCTGGAGTTGTCAAGCTCACTTACTTGCTATATTTGTCATCGTATCTGCAGATGTAGCTCAGGTGAGCAGCAAATGCCTCCACAGCCAAGGGGCATGGGATCTCACCACTCTTCCTCTTAATGATCACCCCTGCAAAGAAGACAACAGAAATGCCCTCTTTACCGCCCATCCCACGAGTGAGTGGAGCGTCCTGGTCGTAAATGGCCTCACTTGGTCTCTTGTGCCCACAGACTCCATGCCTTAGCCCCTTCCCTCCCCTGTGACCATGCGCCAAAGCCCAAAGGGTCACCAAGGAGGTTCCACCAGGCACCAAGCAAGAGCAGAGAGGCAATTGGCTTCTGGCCACCCACGACTATTACCCACGCAGCCTGGGGTCCCCTCTCAGTAACAGCTCCTGTGGAAGTCTGAGTACCCTGGGAAAGTATCCCCCACCACCCGGGGCTCCCCAAGGCTGACCCTGGTCACTGGGGCCTGAGCTACTTCCTTGGGAAGACCATTGTCACGTTCACTGCCCTGACGTGGGTATCCCCCGAGTGCTAGGGATCCCCCCAGGCCTCCGGCGGCATGGTGACTTGTGACCTGGCACTGACACCACGAGGAAGTAGCCTGGCAGCCCACTCTGAAGGGTCACCTCACCTCAACTTCCTGAAGTACCAGGGACCCTCCCTGTCCCACCCTGTATACTAGGCTGGAAGTGGAGAAGCAGTTAGCTCTTTTTATACCAAAAAATCAAAACACCAAAAAGAGGGCAAGAGAACCCCACCCTGTTGTCCAATCACACGCCAGCTTTCCCAACACCTTGTAACTGTCTGCCTTGCACCAAGTGGAAATAAAAACTCAAAGTTGCAAAAAACAAAACAGCAACACCTCGCTACGGTCTCCACCAAAGACCAGTGTCCTGGCTGTCCCTAACCACCTAAAAATAGTCCGCAGAGGAGGAGAGAAGGTGAAGATGTCCATTCACACTAAATGCTTCCAAAGACTTGAGAAAACAGTCAAGTTACAGAACTCCAAAGGCTTGGCTGGGAGAGACACAGGCTACCTGAGCCCTAACGCTAAGCAGCTGTAAAGGCAAGCCCCGAGGTGGTTCCAGCCTCCCAGGTCAGGACAAAGCAAAAGAGGAGATGTTAGAATCACTCTCTCATCCCTCCCTAGTTCCCTGAGCCCTCACCAGGTTTTGAGGGGCGCTGGGAAGCAGAGGAAGAGGATGCACAAGTCAGGGAGCAGGTGATGTGGTCCCCATCGGAGTGGAGGGTGGAACTGGAATTTAGGAGGCTCATTGTTCTCCCCACCCCCCACCCCCACCCCCCAGTCCACCGAGTCTCACAGGCCTCCTGGGAGCTTCACAGGCAACCCTCCACACAAGCACGTACTAAGCACCTCCACTAAATACAAATGAAAACGCCTCCCAGGGCCACCACCAACATCTCTCCAAAACGAATCAATCCCACCAACAGCATCTAAGAAGCAGAGAGGGATCAATTACCCTCACCTCCCTGCTGTCCAAGCTGACCCCCAGCAGCTGGCTTCAGAGATAATGCAGAAGGTCAAAGGAGGAACTTTTTATCTTTTGTTAACACAACTTCCCTTAAATGTGGTTTGGGATTTATCTGTTATTTCCTCTAACCAGTCTTCAATTTATTCTTCCCTCACAGCATGAAGCCATTATGGGCACAGTATGTTTTGTTTTTTAAATAAAAATATTCGATCACTTGTATTTTTTCTTCTTGTTGTTCAATTTAATAAAACTCTGCATCACTGAAAAACATAGAAGGAAATTATATTTTCCATGTATTTTTTAAGAGGTTAGTTCATTGCTATTGTTGTTACGTGCCGTAGAGTTGGTTCCGACCCATAGGGACCCTGTATAGGGTTTCCAAGAAGCAGCTGGTGAGCTTGAACTGCCCACCTTGCAGTTCAAATGGCTTTGCATTCTGGCACATTAACCCACAGCGCCACACCAGGGTCAGTTCACAGGGTTGTGAAAGTTTTAGCAATACCTATGTGGACACGGTCAAAGTAAAAAACGACGTGTCTGTCCCCTGCATGACCACAAGGAGCTCCATGGGGGGTGGGGTCTGTCCTTCCCTGTTGCTCCTTCATCTTACAACTCCCACAGTTGCATAGACTAAGTGGGAAGCTTGAGTTTTCTTTTCTTTTTGGTTATTTTCACTAGAAATAGTGGGTTTTCACGCTGAAGAAACACCAGGAGAGCTGGGTAGGATTCAGCTCTAGGGCCCCACACAGACAAGTCCAGCTCAGGGTCTTTAAGACTCTCTGAGAGTCGAGAGTCAGAGGACCAGGGCCCTCTCTGGTCTGATGGTTCAAGCACAGAGGGGTTGCTTCGTCAACCACCCTTTACCATTTACTACCACCACCAACAATAAAGGCTCCCCTGACATCAGGCCCCAAAAGAAATTCTACGTGGATTTGAACTTAATAGCAAAATCCCACGCTATTGAAACAATCAGGTAAATAGACATTTCTCTGAACTTGGGGTGGAGAAGGGGTTTATAAAGCACACAGCAAACAGTGACCAACAGATTTGCCTACACAGAAATGCAAACAAATTTACATGATCAGATACTTGCCCTAAGTAAAACTAAAAGTGCAGAAACAAACTGCAAGCAAAAATAAGCTGGATTGTGTTTTCTTTTTAAATGCTGGGGAACCGGTTCTAACTCACAGAGGCTTTATGTACAACAGAACGAAAAACTGGCCAGTCCTGAGCCAACACCACAATTGTCAATCTTGAGCCCATCGCTGCTGCCACTGTGCCAATCCATTTTGCTGGGGGTCTTCCTCTTCTGCGCTGACCCTCCATTTACCGAACATGATTTCCTCCTCCATGGACTGGTCCTTGCTGATATGTCTGAGGTATGAGAGATAAAGTCTGGCCATCCTGGCTTCTAAGGAGCACTCTGGCTGTACTTTTCCAACACAGACTGGCTTCTTCTTTTGGCAGTTCATGGTACTTTTAATATTCTCCTCTAACACCATAACTCAAATGCATCAATTCTTCTATGATCTTCTTAATTCACGGTCCAACTTTCACATGCATATGAAGCCACTGAAAAGACCATGGCTCGGGTCAGGTGCACTTAGTCCTCAAACTAATATATTTACTCTTGAACACTTTAAAGAGGTCCTGTGCAGCAGATTTGCCAAATGCAATACAGCGTTTGATTTCTTGACTGCTGCTCCCATGAGTGCTGGTAGTGGGTTTAAATTTTAAATCTACTTTCATTTATCATGATATTATTTATTGGTCCCGTGGTGAGGATTTTTGTTTTCTTTACACTGAGGTGCAACCCATACTAGAGGCTGTGATCTCTGATCTTCATCAGTAAGCATTTTAAGTCCTCTTCACTTTCAACGAGCAAGGTTGTATCATCTGCATTTCAAGGTTATTAATGAGTCTTCCTGCAATTCTGAAGCCACGTTCTTCTTCATATAATCCAGCTTCTCAAATTAAGTGCTCAGCATACAACTGAATAAATATGGTAAAAGAATACAACCCTGGTGTATATCTTTCCTTTTTGTAAAGCATTCAGTGTTCCCTTGCTCTGTTCAAACAACTGCCTCTTGGTCTATGTACAGGTTCCTCATGAGCACAATTAAGTGTTCTGGAATAGCCATTCTTCGCAATGTTATCCATATCTTGTCATGACCCACACAGTAAAATAAAACAACAACACTGTGTTGTCAACAAAGCACAGATGAAAATCTTTCTGATATTCTCTGACATCAGCAATGATATTTCTCACTCCACATTCTCATCTTAACTTGGCTTTAACCTATGGCAATGTACTGTTGCGGCTGTTTTTAAATTATCTTTAGCAAAAATTTACTTGCATGTGATATTAATGCCATTGTCTGATAATTTTCACATTCTATTGGGTCACCTCTCTTTGGAATAGACACAAATATGGATTTATTACAATCAGTTGGCCAGGTAGCTGTTTTCCTTCAAATTTCTTGGCATGGATGAGTACCTCCAGTGGCCGCATAAGTTTGTTGAAAGATTTCAATTTTTATTCCATCAATTCCAGGAGCCTTGTTCTTTACCAATGCCTTCAAGGCAACTTGGACTTCTTCCTTCAGTACCATTTGCTCTGGATCATATGCAACACCTTGAAATGGTTGAACATAATTCATTTCTTCTTTTTTTCAAAACTGCTTGTGTGTTTAATTGTCCAATGGTTTTATGGACTTTCTTCCGGGATTTAAAAAAAAACAAAAAACGTTTTATTGTGAATTGAGTGATAATTTCCAGGGCAGGTCATCAGTTTTACACTCAACAAATTTAATTCTGTTTCATTGTAATGATTACAATCCCGTCCATACATCATTGGTCAGTTAACAGTATTTACTTCTATTTTCTCCATTCCCACCCCCACCCTTTTATGTACACAAAACACACAGAAAATATATATTCGTTTAAATGTTCAAAGAGCACATTTTATAAGCCCTCTTCCTATCTGCAGGCACACAGCTTTTCTGATTCCATGGCTCTAGAGTTCTTAGCTGCTCTCTCTCTCCATGCCATCATCTCTGCTTCCATTTCTGTTGCTGCAGCTTCTCTGGTTAGGATCCCAAGCTCTGCTCATGCTCTTCCCTCTTGATGGTCCTAGGGTCCTCTGTTCCTGGAATAAAAGATTAACTACCACCACCCCCCTTTTTGTTTCACATATTCTACATTTACAACTGTGACAGTTAGTCATGATAACAATTACTCACTAATAAATCATGAAATCCTATCTCCATCCTCCCATCTCCTTTCAATCAGACCCTTCTAGACAAGAGGAGAATGAGTCAGTGGGGATTCTACCTTACCTGCCTCGTTCTGAAATAAGAGCACTCTTGAAAGCTTGTAAGCCAGACACTTCGTGCCTTTATAGCCCTCCCATTTTTGGTAGCCAATGTCTAAGTTGCTTGCCCCTATCAACCCTGTGTACTGAGGGGACAGGCTTGATCCTTGATATGAAGAGTCCTTCCCTTTCAGTTGGCATTTTGAGCAACTATATCTATAAGCAAAGGTCCAGTTCATCAAACTGTAGCAATTTATGCTTGCTTCCTGTATCAAACTTCTTTATCTTCCTCTGGTAAAGTTGTGATCAGCAAGCCATCCAAGCTAGGTCAAATGGGTACCATCTGCTAGTTTGGGTGCTATTGTATGCCTCCTCCCCACTTTAGGCCAGCTGGCCACTTCACTCTCGATTCTAGTCCCCAGTGGTTAGGTCAGTGTTCATGGACTCAGGAGTTCACAATGTTTCCTAAACTTCAGACCAGCCAGCCCTTCTTCTTCTCTCTCTCATCTCAAGGTTAACAGGTGTCAATGGAACATGGCTGTGCTCAGCCCAGGTCTTCATTACTGCATTTCTCTCCCCTCCCCACACTTCCACTCACAAGTAGATTGGGGCAGTCGCCAGTGAGTTTACAAGCAAGCTTACACGTTCCCTTTGCATTTCAGACTTGGAAGGCAGTTTTCTCTGATGGGCTGACTTTTCTTGCCTTGATGGGCCCCAGGTGAACAGTTTGCTTGATCAAACAATCTATTTTTTTTTCCTGCTGGTCTTTCTCTCAAGAAGTATATTCTGTTCTAGCCACTCTGGGTAGGTCTGCATGTCCTTTCAAGTGGGAAAGCCCCACCTCAGAAGGTTCTGGGTTCCAACTAAGTCTCCATACTCCAGAAAGGTTTAACAAGAAGCTATTTTCCTGGGCAAATTTCTACTACTCCTTTTAGTTAATCCAATCAGTTATAGGCTGAAGATGGGCTTACAAGCTTTCTGCATATTTCCCAATATTCCTTCTTATCCACCTTAAATGTCTATTTTACAATAGTAGGCAGGGGAAACCAATATTCACAAAACAGTCAAACACCTTAACATTATTTCCTCTCCTTTACCCATTCAGACTATGCCTCAATCCCTGTTATCACATAGCCCTGCTGTTCCAAGGTTCAGGATACATCACACCATTTATACCTCTCTAAATCTTCCCCTGGAGTCCTGGTGTGGCACTGTGGGTGAATGTGCCAGACTGCAAAGCCATGTGAACTGCAAGGTTGGCAGTTCAAGCTCACCAGCCATTCCTCAGGAACCCCACACTGGGTTGCTATGGGTCTGAACCGATTCAAGGACACTTAACAATAACAACAAATCTTCTCCTACCTTCCTTGTTCATCCATCCCCTTCCCATTTCTTGTATACTGCTCTCCCCCTTCTTGTATATTGCCCTCCCCATCACTGAGCTATTATGTGTCTATCCCCTAATCTATGCCTACTGCTCCTTCCCTCTCACCCCTGGTAACCATGAAAGAAATGTCCTTTTAGTATGGAAATCTTTTCTTAAGCTTTTACAATAATGGTCTTATGCATTAGTTGTCCTTTTGTGACTGACAAATTTCACTCAGCATCATGTCCTCATGGTTCATTCATGTTATGAGGTGTTTTGCAGCTTCATCGTTATTCCTCAAGGTAACATAGTATCCCATTGCGTGTATGTACCAGAGTTTTGTTTATCCATTCTTCCACTGATGGGCACTTAGGCTGTCTCCATCTTTTTGCTATTGTGAAAAGTGCCAGGATAAGCATATCTACTCATGTGTGGCTCGTATTTCTTTTCTTTTCTTTTTTTTTTTTGGATTAAAAAAAAAGTTTGCTTTTTTTTTTAAAGAAGTTTTTATTATGAATTGAGTGAAAGTTTACAAGGCAGATTATCAGCTTTACATTCCATAAATCATATTTTTGCTTCATTGCAATGATTACAATTCCTCCATCAGTCAATAGTATTTACCTCTATCCCCCTCCCCCTTTTTTTTAAGGTTTTTATTGTGGATTGAGTGAACGTTTACAGGGCAGATCATCAGTTTTACATTCAACAAATCATACATCTTGTTTCATTACAATGATTATAATCCCCTCTATGTACCATCAATTAACAGTATTTCTCACTATTTACTTTAGCTCTTTTTCAAAAAAACAACAACAAAAAACCCCCACTCAGGCATATATAATAATTTACACCTCCAAAGGGCACATTCTGCCAGTCTGCCTCCTGGCCACAAGCTCTTAGTCCTTCTCTTCCCATGACTATAGAGTTCTTAGCCGCTCCCTCTCTCCATGTCCCCAACTCTGCCTCTGTCTCTGGCATTGCTGCTTCTCTGGGTAAGGTCCCGCATTCTGCTTGTGCTTTTCTCCCTTGATGGTCCTAGGGTCCTCTGTTTCTGGACCGTAAGATTAACCACTTCCCTGATTTTGTTATAAAACTTCTACCTTTACAATTGTGACAGTCGCAATTAGTAATAATAGTTATTCACTATTGAATCATAAGAATCTTATCCCCATCTCTTTTCACCAGACCCATATAGACAAGATGAAAACTATTCAGTGGGGCCTCTCTCTTTTCCCACACACTCTTAAACTAAACTCTATCATGAAACCTTGTAAGCCAGTCACTTTGTGTCTTTATAACCCTCCTCCCCCTATTTTAGGTAGCCAATGTCTAAGTTGCCTGTCCCTATCTACCATGTGTACAAATGGGTTAGCATTGATACTTGATGTGAAGATCCCTTCCCTCTCTATTGGTATTTAGAGTTACTACCTCCATGAGTATAGGTCAGGTTCATCAAATTGTAGCAATGTACCCTTGTTTCCTTTATCAAAAAAAAAACATTTTTTTTTTTTTGTAATCTTCCTCTAGTCGTATGTGGCTCGTGTTTCTTGTGGCTGTATACCGAGTGGAGGAATTGAAGGTTCATAAGATTGCTATTTCTAACTTTCTGAAGAGGCACCATACAGTTTTCCAGAGTGGTTGAAACATTTCACAGTTCCACTCCAGCAATGTAGGAGTGTCCCAGTCTCTCCACATCCTCGCCAGCATTTATTGTCTTCTGCTTTTTTGATCTTGGCTGTTCTTGCTGGTGTGAGATAATATCTCCCTGCTGCTTTGATTTGAATCTTTCCCATGGTTAATGACCATGAACATTTCTTCATGTTAGTTGGCTGCCTGCTACCTGAATGTTTTCCTTGGGGAAATGTCTGTTCATGTCCTGTGGCCATTTTTCAGTTGGGTTATTTGTCTTTTTCTTGTAAAGGTGTTATAGTTTCCTATATATTTAAGAGCTCGGTCCCTTGTCTGATATGTCATTGCATGTGGAATTTGGACAATGAATAAGAAGAATTGATTAATTTGAGTTACGGTGTTAGGAAAATATTAAAAGCCCCATGGACTGCCAGAAGAACTAACAAATCTGTGCTGGAAGAAGGACAGCCAGAAGGCTCCGTATAAGACAGGATGGTGAGACTTAGTCTGTCATACTTTAGACACGTTTTCAGGAGGGATGAGGCCCTGGAAAAGGACATCATGGTTGGTAAGGTGCAGGGTCAGTCAGAAAAAGGAAGACCCCCAATGAGCTGGACTGGTACAGGGGCTGCAGCAATGGGCTCAAGTGTAACAATGATTGTGAGAATTGTACAAGTTCAAGCCATGCTTCATTCTGTTGTGCATAGGGTTGCTAGGAATTGGCACTGACTTGATGGCATTTAACAATAACAACAACATTAGGTCATAGATGTACACGTGGTAAATGTTGTCTGAACAGACTTTATACAACACATAACTATATAACAAATCACTTGCTGAATAAATCCCTTTTTTATGAATGGATTTGAAATCACCAAAAGAAAAAAGAAATCAATGAAAAAAAATAACTGAATACTCAGAAAACGCCATTGATTACTCTCATGTACAGCATGGGGACTTGCAGGGGGCAAGTCACCTGAACATGCCATCAATGCTTCCTTGACAGTCTCCAAGTAAGACAGAAAACTCACTGCTTGCTCAGGAAGCACTTTGCTGCCCTTCTGCCTACTGGTTAGAAGAGGAGCACATCCCAGCAAGTACCCAGAACCTAGTGCACAAGAGGATTGTCCTACCAACAGCACTGCCCAGCTGAGAAAAGATCCCCAGTTCCACCACGAGACAATACGTCTTGCTCATGCCTACTCAGACCTCCTCTGACGTGCTCACCAGATCTACTCCCCCACTCCCAGCCCCCACCCTGCATCAGTACCTTGCTGGATTGGGGAGTAGGCATTGGTCAGGAAGCGGAAGTGTCCCTTGTTGTACCAGCAGATCAGAGACATGTTCCCCTTCATCTTGATTCGGTACTGTCCCCGGGACTGGGGGGTGGCTGGGTTTGTCAGCATGGACAGAGGCAGGCCTGTGCAGTCACTTTTCCTGGAGCTGAGCAGACCACAGCAGTAAATCTCTGGTGGAGAGAGAAAAACAGAGTCCCAAACATACCTGCCTCAGAGGCAGCAGTTGTTTCCTGGTGTCCTGAGAGGGGGGCGGGGAAGAGGAGGCAGGAGAGTGGTTGGAGAGACCCTCTCAAAATTCCTCTAGAAGAGACTGGCACAATTTGAAGATGTTTATCCTTCTGCTTTTTTCCCTCCCGCTCACCCTGTGCATCTATAAATTTACAAGTGGGACTCCAATCAATCCGTAATAATCTCAAAAGGAGCAGCAATCCTTCTGAGAACATTCACTGCACGCCAGGCACACATTCCGTCGCATCTCTCCTCATTCTCAAAAGTTGTGTTATCAGTAGGTTTTTTTTTCAGGCTACAGAAGAGGAACTGAGGATCAGCAAGGTACTACCCAGGCTCATACAATTGGGAGGGGACAAGGGTTAGTTCAGGCCAGTCTGACTCCTAAGCTTGAGCTATGCCATGCTAATGCATTACCAAGACTTGCTAACCATGAGCCTGTGGAAGTGTGGGACGATGCTCCCGATATGTATGGGGGTACAAAGAAAAGAATCCCCAAACACCTATGGCTGAGTCAAATGTCCTGCCTGCGGCTCTGAAGGGCAGTGTGTGGGTGGGTGCAGGTGCTCAGCATGCCAGATGGTTGTTCAATGGATGTGTTGGGGCACAAAACAAAAAGTAGTGTGGGCAAAAGCCAAATTGTCTGAGATCTAAAACGGTTCTAAAACACAAAATTCATTTGAAAAGCAAAAGTCCACTAAGGCCTCCATAATTTCCACCCAGGGTCTCCCTTCTCATGAACCCTCCCACTCTCCCCTCCGTTCCATCCAGGACAGAATGAGCAGTGGGGGCGGGGCACTCAGCACTCCTTCTCTGCACCACAATGCTAAAGTCAGGTAACAGTGTACCTGACTCCTACGTTCCTGCCAGACCCTGGGAAACCGTCCCAACCTCTTAGCTCACTGAAAAATGACAAGCTCTCATCAGACTAGGAAGAAAGAGTGACAAACTACTTCCGAATCGCTAGTCACTGAAAACTCTATGCATAGCAGAGAAACATTGTCAGATATAGGAC